GCCGTTCCCTTCTCACTACAATCTACACACTCTGGGGTTTGTGTCGGTCTGTGCAGGTGGTCGCCTTCGTCCCCCCTGGATGTTAGAGATCAAACTATTCCTGAGCATTTCAAGGTGCTATAGAATAGGCTGCTGCCTGACTTTATTGTCTCCCTGTCTCTGGCACAGAGGCTGGATATAGCACAAGATTCCTGGAGACTTTCGAGCTTCCTGCTGTGTTTGGGCTCTGCTGATGGAAAGCTTGTACAAATCAAAGCGCTAATTCCACGACAACTCTGTCAATGATGACAAGTGGATACCAGTGAAGCTCCTGGTACAGCGTCAGGACAAAGCGGCTGGTGCTCGTGTGAGAAGAATGAACTGGTCTTAACAGCATCAGATGGGCCCGTTTTGATCTGAGGCCCACCCACGCAGGGCTCTGGGTCCAGTTTACAGAGTTACTAACCAGGTTTGTTTATGTGAGAAGCTGACCAGGGTTTGAACTTCTCTCGTAAGCCTTCTGCCGTCACCTTTCAAGTAAACAACAGAAAGCAAAACCACACATTTTTCATGGAGGGACTGACCTTTCAGTTTAGTTCTTACCCTTCTCCTTTGCCTCAACTCTTGTTCATTTTAAAGAAAGCCTAAAATGTGTGTATAAATATGGCAAACTACACCCTGTGCAAGCTTTGCTCTGCTGGGGGAGAACACTGAAGATGGAGAGCAGATATCAAAGCCGCTCCCTGCGTTCTGTATTCTACACCCTGTCCTCCGGTTCCTGTTTCTGCTTCGCCCAGTCAAGACAAACAGATGCAGAACTTCCTTCATTTCCTTACTAAAACAGTGAAAGCGGGGCAGGCAGTCTGGCAGCCTGCACGACGCTGCTGTTCAACTCGACGGTGTCTCTTGCTCTGAAATCAGAAGTTTTTGCGGTGAATTCTATGTACAACCGTTGCTTCCTGACCCCGGCTGACGCTCTGCAGTCATGTGCTCAGTGACTTATGAGGTGTTTAATGCACTGATGCCAGCGGAGTTCTCTCCGTGTCACCTCTCGTTACATTCACTGCAAATCTAATCTCGCACTTTGGCACAAATGGAGATGAAGTGTAAACCGTGGAGGCCGAAACAAGCCCCGTAGACTAAACCTCGTAGCCAGTGGTGAGCGCCGACTCGGAGGGCAAAACATCTGAAGACGAATCCCAGAGGATCCGGGGCGGGGAGGTGGGGGGGAGTCTGGAAGAGTTTAACCTCCGTTCCAGAAACTGCTAAACAAGGGATTATGATTTTCATTCTTGGTCTCCGAAACATTGAAGGCTCTATTCAGCAAAGGTTATGTCTGAGTGTAATTCAAAACACAAACTGTCTGCTGAACTTTTTCCTCAGCAGGAACATTTGCTTCACAAACTGAGGCTGAGACTAAAGTGTTTGAATACGAATTAGATCAGAGATTAATGGAGTTAATTACTGTGTTAGAGTGACATTTGCATGCTTGGTGTGTTGCATATTGTGCATGCAGATCTTCTTTGTTTTCATGTTGGCTTTACTCCTGATGGATGTCTTTTACTCTCACTGTGTTATAGTCCGGTGGTCTACGAGAAGCTTACCTAAGGCTAGTTATGTAATCCCAGCCGGCAGTCTTCTTGATTGATGCCTAATGAGAGTGTGTGGCAAAGGAAGCGACATGAAGCCTCTGTGTGGCAGCGGGTGGTGACTGCAGTGTGTCGAGGAACACATTCATCCAATTCACTGAACAGGAGCCCAACCTGATTATGGTGTTCATCTTCCTTCACCGTAACCCTGCAGCGTTAATTGAATCTGATGCTAATTACCTGATGAACTGAGTGATTTCGTGTCCAACTAATGATATGATGAGAGTGATGCTCAGCCAGTTATTATCCTGATATAAATATAAGAATATTAGGATTTAATGTTGTTTTTCAGACACACGCCACCTGTGCAAGAAACTAAAAATAAGTTGACACAAGTCTTGAGTCTTTCTGAGTTTCTTATGATCTTATATTCAACCAACTAACTATAGGGAGTTATGGGAATAAACTTTTCCTCAAGAATCAACAAATTATCATTAATTGATGCCATAAACAGGCTTTAAGTGGTACGTACTTGGCTGTGACAAACATTTTATATTTAAAACCACCTGAATAACTTTTCTTCAGTAGTTTTCTTGTGCATTTGAACACAACACTGACATTTAAAGTTTTAGTTCACAAGGCATTAGGCTGCTTATGATGTCAACTCAGCCCATCAGAAGTAATGTTTGAAACTTAACTGATTCATTTAAATGAATTTGCATTTGGAAAGGTGGTGGGATTAAGTCCCCTGAATGACTGGTTGGATGAGAACCAGTCTGGATGTGTTGGTGGGACCTTCAGGATCCACCAAGTGTCACTTAAACTAATCTGAACTTTCACATTTGCTCCTGTGATGAGGAGCTGAACCATTTAACCCCCAAACCTATGAAGGTCCAGTTTGAAACAAGAAGCTTTTAATAAGATATTAAAATAAAACTGAAGCCTTCCTGGTGTGCAGCTTGGTACAAACACACATAGTGGACTCTGGATGTTTGAAGTGACCACCCAGCCAACCCAGAGCTCAGCCCCAGCTCCACGGACCATGAGGCGGTCACAGCATACCTCTAACCTCCAGGAGGGGAACGCGCTGGTCCGGTGCATCCCGGCGGACAGCAGGCTGAGCAGCGCGGCGGCAGCCAGCAGCGGGGCGAAGCTCCAGCCGCCGCTTCGTAAACTTCTGGGAGCCTGACAGCTCGCCATGGCTGCGATCACACCTCCGGGAACGAAAAGAACGAATAATCCCCTCCGCGAACGCTGCTGTACCATCGATGCCCGCGGGTCCTACTCCTTGGCCATCGCGCCGATCAGTTGCGTCGCTCCTGGTGCTGTGTGCGGCAGCGCAGTCCAGCCTGCGGACCGGGTAGCGGCAGCAGCGCAGACTGCATCAGCTCCGCTCGGCTCTCTTCCACTCGGTGCGCTGCCAGCGGGCTGGTTTCACATTACTGTAGCTGGGGCAGGGGGTCAGTGTCGAGACGATCTAATGAAAACCAAACGCTCCATTGTCCGTCACGGCACTTGTTGCAACGCGCCGAGCTCAGCTAAAGCAGAGTCAGATGGGATATTTTCAGCCCGATTTTGGGAGTTTTATGTAATGCTGCTGAGGAGGAAGAAGCCTGTCCTCCTCCTCCCTCTGTGGCAGCAGCAGCAGCTCACATTCTCAGACCAGCACAACACACGTAGGCTGGGGTTTAGGAGGAAAGGCATTGCTGTGTTGGGTTGTGTTTTGTAGTTTTCTGATCAGCATGACAGTGAACAAGCTTTGCCTTCACACTGATCCAACAGAAAGTCTGCAGACACATGACATGGTTAGTTGGCTGGTTGTTTGGTTGGTTGGTTGGTTGAGGTGTGCAGGGCTGACAGGATGCAAACAGCTTAGATCTGTTGTGGCAGCTGTCTTGTCCTGGTTCTGCTGCTTTTGGATCAGTTTTTATTTTGCTGCAGCATGATGGATACAGGCAACATGATAAGAAGCAAAACAGCAGCTTTGAGTTGTTACCTCATGAGAGGAACACTTTTACACACATTCTGTGATCACTGTCTTTACATTTGGCCCATTCCAGGTGTTCATGGCAGATTCCACTATAACACTGGTGCTGATTGGTGCAAACAGGCTGTGTTGAGCTCTAAGCTGTAAACATTATCTTCTGTAATGCTGTTTGTTACCCAGACATTAATTATAGGGAGACCTGCATGGGGCCACATGGAGTGTCAAACAAAAACCAAACATCATAACTGAATTAAAGTTCTGTTTTTTTTTTATACTTTTAAAAACAATGCCAATATAAACTGATTTTATTTTCTTGTTATATTATCCATCCATCCATCATCTCTACACCTTAATCCTCACCAGGGTCATGGGGGGCTGGAGTCTATCCCAGCTGACTCAGGGTGAAGGCAGGTTCACCTGGACAGGTAACCAGTCTATCACAGGGCTACACTTAGAGACAGACAACCAAGCACACTCACATTCACACCTACGGACAATTTACAATCACCAATTAACCTCAGCATGTTTCTGGACTGTGGGAGGAAGCCGGAGAACCCGGAGAGAACCCACGCTGCACGGGGAGAACATGGAGACTCCACGCAGAAAGATCCCAGGCCAGGATGCAAATCCTTCCAGCTGTGAGGCGACGGTGATAACCACAGAGCCATCTTGCAGCCCTGAGCCCAAACAGCTTTTCAAAACGACTACAGCTTCATTAGACCTCCATGACCTCCATTTTCTGACTCCTCCTGCTCGGTTCTTGACGGCGTCATACTGCGTTTCCTTCTTCAGCTGTTTTTCAGTAATCCAGTGACCAACAGCTCTGCTGCTGTGTCCTTCTTCATGAATCAGCAAGATGCCGTCTTCTTGTCATCTCACAGTTCTCTTTGTTTATTTATTGATGAGTAATCATCTCGGTTGGATTATCTGTTGACTATACAGCTTATGCACAATATGATCGTGACACAAAATGTTTTCAGGCCTTCTACTGTGCAGTTTAATGTTTTTACAGTTTTAATACATCTTATTTTTAAACGTAGTTTATTTCGTGTGATGAACTATTAGAAGACACTTAGAAGCTGCTGTAAATATTTAACCTCTATGATAAAATTCAATCAAAACTGCTCTGCGCTAAAGACTTGCATGACTAAGCATGACTATAAACTATGCAATCTAAGTATTTATGACCTGATCTGTGGCCTGACTTTATCACCGTATAAGACAATAATAAGACAAGGTTCATGTCAATCTGCATGAAGCTAAACATCAGCCACCACTGATGCTTGAACTGTTTCATTTGCAGAGACAAATACACAAAAGTATCTCACAGGAATATGTAATAAATGTGTTTTATGAGTTCTTTTTATCAGTTAAATGATAAAAACTGATGAATGCAGTCAGATGTTAAAGATTTTACAGCTCAAATAAACGCTCATCTGCTGCCACTGTACTTATAATTATCTTACATTCATTTACAAAGAGTTGGACCTCATTATGACACAACAGAAAAGTAATTACGACACCCCAAAGTTCATCTTAAGATTGATCCACGACGTGCATTATTGGTAAATTAACATACAGCTGCTAATCAAATGACAGGAGGTAGGAAAGCACATGGCAAAGGTGATGAGATCTTTGCATGCAGTTGTTAATCAAATGGCAGGAGGTCAGGGGACGATGAACAACAGGAGGATGGAATCAGGGGTCTGTGACAGGAGGTAGGAGAACACATGACAAAGGTGATGAGATCAAAGGTCTGGTGATCAGCAAAAGAAAAGAGAATGGCTTTGTTCATCATCATCAAAATAAAAGAATGTCTTTCTTCATCAGTTCTCTGTGGAGCAGAGTAGAGAACATGCTGAGCCTGGTTGTGTTGGTGTTGTACCGGATCATACGCTGGAATAAAAACAAGGTGGAATTACGAGCCAGTCTTCTGATGTTCTTGCAAAAACTTCTGGCAAAGAGAGAGTCCAGATTTTTAACAGAAAAACTCTTATTCAGTGGGTTTTGTCACAGTTATGTGACTTGCCAGGTGGTAGAGCGGGTTGTCCTCTAATCACAAGGTTGGTGGTTCAATCCCCGGCTCCTCCACAGTCCAAGTGTCCTTGGGCAAGACACCGAACCTGAAGTTGCTCCCAATGGCAGGCAGCACATGTCAGTACTTTGATCGTCCCCAAGCCCAAAAAAAGAACTATAGTTTACAGAGGAGCAAAAGCATGGAGCTCAATTTCTTTACAGATCAGAGACACTAAAAATATACAGTTGGGTCTTATTTTGTGTGTCTTTTTCAACAATTTCCCTGAGGCTTTTACCAAATGGATCAATAAAGTTGTATCTATCTATCTTAAGAGGAAAATAAAGGGACAATAGGCACAGAATACGTGACTATTCTTCCTCTGTATTGGTGTTATATTTACAATGTATTGTAATCCATTTACTGTTTTGTACCGAGCTGCATTATAAATGAAATGTTTGCTATTTATTATGTATTTTTAATGTTTAATGTATAAATTTTTACACTCTGGGACCCCAGGAAGACGAGCAACCACTTTGTGGGAGCTGATGGGGATCCTAATAATTATTTTATTATATAGCATATTATTATCAGTAACATTATTAGCATTATTATTTATTTATTAACATTGCTATTATTATTATCATTATTATTATTACACCGTGTTGCTGTCCTATCTAACAGTTTGTTTCCTTGTTTACTGCTCTTTTTCTTAATTGATCTGTGCTAATGTCTTAGTGGGTGTTGTGCTGCTGCTGAGGTACTCTACCAAAGTTCTATCTAAAGTTCTCTCAAATTAAGAACAAAGGCGGAACCATGGTTAGGACGCGTGGTTCCTCCGGACCCTGTGCGACGTGACGCTCCTGGCAGAGGAAATGGCGCCCGTCAGGTGCAGCAGGGTTTACTGTGGCCAGCCAGTCAAGCACCCTCGGAGCTGACACGTAAGCCGTGTAGCCGCCTGTCGCCGCACCGGGTTCAGCGCGCACAGGAACATGATTTTCGGCGGACAGAGGCGCAGTTCGTGCTGGATACCGAGGACGTAGCAGGTAGGAGCCGCCGGCAGACATTTGCTCCTCTCTGCCCCTCACGCTGAGCCGTAGCTCCGCGGCTAGCCTGTTAGCTCTAATCCCATAATCTCAGCAGTTAGCCGAGGCTGCCTGCCTGCCTGCCTGCCGGGGGGACGGTGTCCTCTGCTCGGTGGGGAGCGTGTCGGTTTCTCCCCAGAGTAGTTTGGTCCACATTTGAGTTGGGGCAATATTGAACTAACTGCCACGTGTACGACCAGGTGAGCAGTTCGCTTCTTTTAGTGTTCAGCTTCACAACTGTTTGGCTGTACTTCGCGTTTAAAAGTGACCGGAAGTGCAGCCGCAGCGCTCCGGTTGTGTAGCAGCAACTTTTCACCTGCACAAAGGTTCAGGAAAATAGTTTGAACAGGTTGTCTGCGAGTCCTGAACAAGTCCTGAATGGTCTTGATTATATAAAAGCAAACAGACGGACTTTATTAACCCCAGAGAGTAGGTCAGGGGTTCAGCAGCAGGACTGTTCAGCAAAAGGAGGTAAACAAAGCAACAAGACAACACAGAGAATCAGGGTGTAAATGAAGGTAGAATAAGATAAAAAATAGAGAAAATATAACATATAGGAAAGCAACAGAAAGTACAAGAGAGATACAGAAATGTGCTTTTATCTGATATAATAATAAACTTCTATATTAGATTAATATTTGAAAATGGAATCTATGACGTGATCTTTGTTTCTCGAAGACACAATATTTAACAATTTATGGTGTTATGTAAAAATCTGAATGCATTTGTGTTCATTATAAAGGACGTCTTTAAATATAAAGTAGTGCACACATGAGGAAAGCCCAGTACGAGACACGTGTGACGTCTGTCACGGTGCTTTAAGCTGATCTGTATTCCTCCCCAAAGCATCAGTTTTGA